CGGGTGCGCGGGCGGGGCGGCAGCCGCTCTCCCTTCCGCGGACCCTCGCCCCCAGGCCTACAAACAGCTGGAGAGCCAGCGCCGGCGCCGAGGCTGCAGACCGGGAGAGGCTCCCCCTGGCCTCAGCCTATCCCCGGCCTCGCTTCCGGTGACATCACGTCTCCTAGCAACCGCGGGTGAGGGGGCGGGGCCGGAAGTCGGGAAGCCAGGCGCCCGAGATCAGGGCCTCGGAGAATGCCTCTCAGTTGATGGCGGGCACGGAGGAGCTGGGTGTGTGTTTACACGGATTAAGAGACACGGATGGTTATACACATCGTGTGTCTCCCTGGAACATCCCAATATAGATTTCCCCTGAAACAGCTACTCTCTTACACTCTCTCAGGTATTGAAAACTAAAAGCATATCTGAAGACTGATTTACGGATTATGGCCTCTCTTCTGTACATTTGATTATTCCATCAGCAAAGATATAGGAGGAGTTGAACCCAGGGCCTGAAAGAGGAGAATCTAGTAAGTAGCCTGGAGTATCCTTTTGAGAGAAGTGAAGCAGAAGTGTGTCAAAATTGACTATAGTGGAGCCATTTTAAAATGGAGTCAGAGCTGCCTTTCCAGAGAAACTGCTTTGCTGTCTTGAACCTTGGACTGGGCCCACATGGATTGTTTTACAAGCAATTGTTTGAGAAGTCAGCAGGAGAACAGACATCCTGATCACAAAGACTGAGCATTGTGGACTTTGTGAAGATAGCATCAATAGTCAGTCAATGTTCAGCCAAGACTGGCTCTCTTCCTCCAACTCTAATTAAAATTCTTTGTAATACAACCTCCCTTCTTTGCCTTTAAAAGCCCCTGACTTTTACTCCCTGGTGGGACACTCTTTGGGTTTCTACCTGAATTTGTGCTCCCCAAATTGCAATTCTTGAGACTCCAAATAAACTCTTTGCTTCTCTTGCAGTTTATGCCTTTCGTTTGTTGACAAATAGAATTCGAACCAAGACAAAAAGTATACTTCTAATTATGAATTAACATTTACAGGCATAATTCCATAAAATAGGCAGCCTGGTAGAAATTAATGAGCATGACTCAATCATAGTCTTAAGGGAAATAGAGTTTATCCATTTTAGCCCACTTCCAGTTGGGATTCCTTTCTCAATTGAGGTCTATTTTTAAAGACATTTGGGCTAAAAGCCTCCTTTCTTTCCCACCAATATCTCACCTCCTACTCTTACATTGATTCTATTCAGTCTCTTTTTAATTTTTTTCCTCCACCACTACTGCTTTCTCTGGCGTGAACCTTATTTTCTTCTTAGCCTTCTCACATTTCTCCGTGACTCCCTACTTCTGTTGAGTAAGTAGAAGGGAACAAAACATATTTGTATAACTCAGGGTGCTTACCCAGTTTTGAAAGTTTGACCTTATGCTTTTCCCATCTTGGATCCAGCCAGTTAAACTAAGCTCAATAGGATAATGATAAAGCTACTTTTGCTTTCATAGTAAGAATATATTATGTCAGAAAATATATTATGTCAGGTAGAAAAATAGTATCTAGGAAGTAAATCTTACTGAAGAAATCCTTCTGTTATTGCAGAGTTTTAAAAATGGTTTTAAATAGTCATAAATGAATGCAAATATATTGTGCTTAAAAATAATATATATGCTTGAATTAACCACATCCTAAATTCATCATGAGGCTTACCTTTCAAAGATACAGGAGTAGGGGTGATACCAAACCTCCTCAAGTTCGTGTGCCTGATGCCCAGCAAGCCAAACACTGGGACACTCGTGCTTGGAGATGAGAAAGATTTATTCGAATTGGCCAAAACGAGTAGGTGGGAGCCTGGGTTTGCTCAAATCCACCTCCCCAAGAACAGAAAGCAGGGAGGTTTTATAGAGCTAAGGGGCTTGGCAGGAGGGGCTTCAGGGAAACAAAGGGGTTGCTACCAATAAGCCTCTGGGCAATCTGATTTCTGGGCTTCAACAGCTGCTGAGGGCCTGCCATCCAGTGATTGGCCATGGGTGATCGCAACCTCCCTGAAGGCATTCTCTTTCTCCTGCAAAACGAGCTCACAGAGACTCCTGAGTCACCCCTCAGATTAAACAGGAAAAACAGCAAATTGGTGTCATATCTATAGTACCCTTCAGATACCCGGCTTCAGGGGTGTCTTAGTCTGCTAGGGCTGCTATAACAAAACACCATAGACTGGGTGGCTTAAACAATAGACATTTATTTCTCACAGTTCTGGAGGCTGAGAAGTCAGAGATCATGGTGCTATGACAGTCGAGTTCTGGTAAGAGCTCTCTTCCAGATTGCAGACCACCACCTTCTTGCTGTACCCTCACTGGGTGGGAATAGTGGTGAGGGAGAGAGAGAGCTCAATACTGTGTTTCCTTTTATAAGGGCACTAATCCCACAGTGGGGGCTTCACCGTGGTGACCTCATCTAAACCTAATTTTCTTCCAATGGCCTCACCTCCAAATACCATCACATTGGGGATTAGGGCTTCAACATACAAATTTGGGGAGGAGACAAACATTCAGTCCATAGCAAGGGGTATCAACTTTTCTGTGTATCCCCAGTGCCAAGCACAATGCATAGCACATGCTAGCATTCAATTACAGTCATGCATTGCTTTATGACGAGGATATATTCTGAGAAATGCATCATTAAGCGATTTCATTGTTGTGCAAACATCATAGAGTGTACCGAAGGGGAACAAAATTTGCCACCCCAAAATGTGTCTCTTTAACATGAGGATTATTTTAGGCTGATTATTTTTATTTATTTATTTTTTTGTTTTTTGTTTTTTGTGAGAAAGATCGGCCCTGAGCTAACTTCCGATGCCAATCCTCCTCTTTTTGCTAAGGAAGATTGGCCCTGGGCTAACATCTGTGCCATCGTCCTCTGCTTTATATGGGACACTGCCACAGCATGGCTTGACAACACTGCATCGGTGCATGCCCGGGATCTGAACCTGCGAACCCTCGGCTGCCGAAGTGGAGCATGCGCACTTAACCACTACACCACCAGTCTGACCCCCTAGGCTGATTATTTTTAAGAAACAAAGACTCAGAAAATTTTTCTTATTACATCCCTCTTAACTGCCTAAAAGAATTCAAATAAAAAACCTCTCTCAGGAAGCCAGTTATCACCTTAGCATAACATGAACTAGGTGGTAGACAGAGGAACCTAGAAAAGTCTGTTTGTTGGGCTCCCCTCTGTGTTCTTCTGTTTCTGTGTGGCCAAACAAACATTTGGTTTCCAAACATTTGCTCCTTTTCACCTACCTGTGAATTGCCTTCCTTCCCTTTGAAGTCCCTGACTCTCCCCATCGTCCACATCTTCTTTTGTCTTTAGCTAAGGATGGTATTTAGGGTGAGGGCTTTGGCCATTTTGGTGAGTTACTCAGTTTTCATGGGTTTCTCCCATGTATACATGATATTAAACTTTTATTTATTTTTCTCCTGTTAATCTGTGTCATGTCAATTTAATTCTTAGACGAGCCAGAAGAACCTAGAAGGGTAGAGGAAAATTTCTTCCTCCCCTACTGTACTTATACACACCTAGATGATAATAGCCTACTCCAGACCTAAGCTATATGGTACTAATCTTACAGGACCACCATCATATATGCAGTCTGTCATTGACCAAAACATCATTATGGGGCACGTGACTGTAGTTGAATTGAACCCTGTGAATACCTTCCCACTACCATTTCCACCACTACAGTTTTTTAGTTTGCTTTTTGATGTATCAGTTTCCTTAAAATGAAAGGCATCTTTACCAAGACTCTAAATTAGCTTACTGTTTATTCAATGAGTAAAACATCAAAACAAGATGAAAGTAATAATCTTAAGCATTACTTTTACATAACATCCCAACACTCATCTTTTCTCCTAACTTGATTATTGCATTAAGTGCAATATAACATTTGAAACTGGTGCCATATTGCCACAAATCTAGGATTTTTGCTCTGATCTTTTAGAAGACAGTCTTGTATTTCCCTCTTGAGCTCTACTCTTATGTTGACCAAGAACCCCATGAACTTACCGCATCTAAAGGAAATCAGTTCTCTTTCCAAGGCCAAGCTGAAACAGAACGGGAGTACTGCTATTGCTTCCCACTGCCATAAGGTATTGCTCTTGAAGCTTCATTCTGTGTAGTTCCAATGACACTTGTCCACTCTGAAATGATGTCCTTGCTTTTTCTGGTCCAGATCTCTGCAAAGACCCCAGTGATATTCACATTTAGACTTCTAGTTTGACATCTTCACTTGTTCAGTCATTGTCCGCGGAAGGACAATGCCATTGAGTAAATCTTCTTTTGCTGAGTCCTGGATTAAGTGAGCTGACAATCACCAGCTGTTTTCTTCTCTAGTGACGCTTAATGATTCTGGGCATGTACTGATCAAGCTTGGCCTGGGCAGAGGTAGTTTACACAGGAAGCGAGACACCAGTGACATGTTTAACAGTTATGTGAGTTGTGTAGTGGACTGGAAATACAGAGGAGCCTCAAACATACAGCTAGCTTTCCAACAGGACATTTGCTGAATTCTGGGGTGGTGCAGGAGGCTGAAGGACTGGGCCTGACAGGCAGAGAAAAATTTCCCCACATTCTACCAGTGCATCCAAAACGGACTCTACTTAGAAGGAGGAGCCTGCCTCAAATACACAGGCAGTCTTACCCCTCCAGACA